GACAGGTGAGGGACACACCTGGGACAGGTGAGGGACAGGGGGGACACACCTGGGACAGGTGGGGACACACCTGGGACACACCTGGGACAGGTGAGAGACAGGGGGGACACACCTGGGACAGGTGGGGACACACCTGGGACAGGTGAGGGACAGGGGGGACACACCTGGGACAGGTGGGGACACACCTGGGACACACCTGGGACAGGTGAGGGACAGGGGAGGGGATGGGGACACACCTGGGACAGGTGAGGACACACCTGGGACACACCTGGGACACACCTGGGACACACCTGGGACGGGAGGGGGATGGGGACACACCTGGGACAGGTGAGGGACAGGTGAGGGACAGGTGGGGACACACCTGGGACAGGTGAGGGACAGGTGAGGGACAGGTGGGGACACACCTGGGACAGGTGAGGGACAGGTGAGGGACAGGGGGGACACACCTGGGACAGGTGAGGGGTGGGGACACACCTGGGACAGGTGAGGGACAGGGGGGACACACCTGGGACACACCTGGGACAGGGGAGGGACAGGTGGGGACACACCTGGGACAGGTGAGGGACAGGGACACACCTGGGACAGGTTAGGGACAGGGGAGGGGGTGGGGACACACCTGGGGGACAGGTGACGGGGTGGGGGGACAGGTGAGGGACAGGTGAGGGGGTGGGGACACGGGAGGGGGTGGGGACACACCTGTCCCACCTGTCCCCACCTGTCCATGTGCCACCTGTCCCACCTGTCTCACCTGTCCCACCTGTCCCCACCTGTCCCACCTGTCCCCACCTGTCCCACCTGTCCCACCTGTCTCACCTGTCCCTCACTTGTCCTCACCTGTCCATGTCCTCACCTGTCTCACCTGTCTCACCTGTCTCACCTGTCTCACCTGTCCCTCACCTGTCTCACCTGTCCATGTCCCACCTGTCTCCCCTGTCCATGTCCCACCTGTCCACGTCCTCACCTGTCCCACCTGTCCCACCTGTCCACGTCCTCACCTGTCCCACCTGTCCCCCCTGTCCCACCTGCCCAGGTGCGTTCCCGGACGTGCTGCAGTGCGGGGAGGTGTTCACCTGGTCCAACGCCGACTGCGCTCACCTGTNGGGGAGGTGTTCACCTGGTCCAACGCCGACTGCGCTCACCTGTACCCAGGTGCCATCACTCCCAACATGCTTTGCGCCGGCGGCCGCGCCGGGGACGGCACCGACTCCTGCCAGGTGAGGCCAGGTGTGCCCAGGTGTGCCCAGGTGTGCCCAGGGGTGCCCAGGTGTGCCCAGGTGTGCCCAGGGGTGCCCAGGGGTGCCCAGGTGTGCCCAGGGGTGCCCAGGGGTGGGGCGGGCACACCTGAGAGGGTGCGGGGAGGGGTCAGGTGTGGGGTTGGACTCACCTGTATGGGGGGATGGGTGGGACACACCTGGAGAACACCTGGGGGGACTCACCTGTGTGGGGGGACTCACCTGTATGGGGAGGAATGGGTAGGACACACCTGGGACACACCTGGGGGGACTCACCTGTATGGGGGGATGGGTGGGACACACCTGGGACACACCTGGGGGGACTCACCTGTGTGGGGGGACTCACCTGTATGGGGAGGAATGAGGGTGGGACACACCTGGGGAACACCTGGGGGGACTCACCTGGATGGGGGAATGGTAAACACCTGGGGAACACCTGGGGGGACTCACCTGTATGAGAGGAATGGGGATGGGACACACCTGGGGAACATCTGGGAGGACTCACCTGTATGGGGGGATGGGTGGGACACACCTGGGGAATACCTGGGGGGACTCACCTGTATTGGGGAACTCACCTGTATGGGGAGGAATG